CCCTGACAGGTCACAGTTCTTGTCACAGTGGCTGGAGACAGGGGCAGGAGCTGGGTGCAGGCAGGTAGGGGCAAGGGGGGAGCACCCCCGTAGCCCCCAGCTGGGAGAGCTGGGCTGGCTGATCTCTCCTTGCAGGACAGAGGTGAGGGAAGAAGAAATGATTCAGTTACTTTCATTTCCTGTTGGGGTCCAGGCACAGGAAACCCGCAGCTGCTGATGCAGGCAGATCTCGTGCTGGATCCAGGGAACTCCTGGCTGCCAGAGGCAACATCCCTGAGCCGAGCAAGGATGTTGTGAAATGCAGCTATTGCTCAAGCAGAGCCACTGGCATGGCATGGCCATCCCCCGGTGCTGCAGCCCCAGGAGACCCCAAGGGATGGGGTCACAGAGCACTGAGTGTCTGTGCTGGAGAAACCCGGCACGTGGAGAGCAGGGATGGAGAGACCAGTGCACTCGGTTCCCCTCTGCCTTTCTTCCCATGAGCTTTTGGTGAGGTCACTTGCAGGCTGTCTGGCAGATGCCCAGCAAATGCCCACCGGGCCTGTATGAGTGGCTACAGCTTTGGAAAGTGGCACTGCAGTCACTGTCAGCTCTGAGATCCAGGGCAGGGAAACAGGGACATGGCAAGGACGGCACCTTCAAAGAGGGACAAACTGTCCAGGGCAGAGCTGTGTTCCACAGGCACCCACAGGCTGTGATCCTCAGTGCCAACCCAATCTATCCCTGGGAGCCAGGAGCTCATGGGCAGAGCTTCTTTTGCCCAGAAAGAAGCAGCCAAGGGCAGAGTTAAAGGGTGAAAGGCCAAATCCCCACTCACATCCTCCGCAGCACCATGACCCTTCCTGTCACTCATCACCAGCTCATTGCTGGGTCTGGCTTGTTTCAGAGGAGGAGCACCCAAACCTCCCATGGTGACACTCCACCTCAACAAGGCTACTTCAAACCAGCAGTCAAGACATCCAGGAGGAGCATTGAGGAATCAGAACATCTTCCATGAGGAGAAATGAAATTTTATAGGGAGTAGCACAGATAGGAAGCAAAACCAGGAAGTCTTCCTCCTGGATTTGAGCAAATTTTTGAGGCTGAACTGTAAAAAGCCTGCAAAGAGCCAAACCCTAACTAAACATTCCCGTGTTTGGCAAGGAACAGCCAAAACCACATCTAAAGTTTGACACACAGGATGCTCCTAGGAGTGCTTCCTGCAAGGGATGACAGAAGGAACTGAGCGTGAAATCCTGCCCTGTTTGACCCAGCCTTTCAGATGGGAGGAGGCTTCTCCTGCTGAGCTTCTCTGCCCATTCCAGGAGCGTGAGGGCTCCTCTGCTGGGGAGAGGCCAGTCCCCCCTGGCTGCTGCAGAAGGAATGGGCCATGGTCAGATGGGAGCCAGTAGCCCAGGAGGGCAGGGACTTGCAGGAATTCCCTTTCCTGTGCTGCCACTGTCCCCTGCTCAGATCAGGACACCGCTCCCCGCTGTCCCCATGACACCCCTTGCTCCCCAGGCCAGAGTTCCCTGTGGCCCCACACACTCCTTGGCACGTGCAGGCGGTTCCTCATCCTGTCCCAGCTCTTTCCACATCTATCCCGTGATACAATGGCCCAAATCACCCTGCAGCCACGTGCTAGGATTCCCCAGGGATCGCAGGGGCTGGGCTGGGGCAGTGCTGCTTCGGTGAGCAAGGACATCCAGGCACGTTTTCCATCTGCAAGGAAATCCGGACACACCTGTGTCCCGCGGTGCCATAATCACCCCGGGAATTCCCCCGACGGCGTGTGCCGGTGCCAGAGGCAGCACTGCTGCTGCTCACCAGCCTTCCACCGGCAGGCGCATGTGGGCTGGGGAAACGCCGGGGAAAACCCAGGGACTCGGCAAAGAAAGCAAGAGCAGCCCGGATGGGTTTGGAGGGAACTTGGAAAGAAAAGTCAACAGCTCAAAATAAAACCTCCCACATCCATTTCCAGCCAGGACAAGTTCACTGTCACCAACAGAACTGGGCTGTGACCAGGACCTGTGGCCACTGTGGTCATCCCAAGACCAGCAGGCACTTCACCAGAGCTCAGAGAAACACTGTCAACATCGAGGTGTGGGGAGCTGCAGCTCCTGCCCACTGCCTCATGTGTGGTGTTGCTGCCAGCCTGATGCTGCCCACTGTCACCTGCACGTCCCTGACAGCCTCTGACCCAGCAGCATCTAAAAATACATCTGGGGGACATGTGGGGGCTCCTCTATGGTTGTTTTCCCAGCTGCAGGCTCAGCGTGACCCAGCCACAGCTGTTCCTGGAGCTGGGAGGGCTCTAGGCCAGCGTGGGGTCACTGCTGACGCCAGCCCTGACTGCTTCATCAAACAGAGTCAGTGGGGACACCCGGGGACCCCAGAGCTCACACAGCCCCTGCGGGGCATGGCCAGCAGCAGGCAAGGACCCTGGGTGTGGGGACATAGGGTCCACCAGGAGCCCAGCCACAGAGACCAACCCTGACACTGGGCTCACCGCCCTTACCCTCCCTCCAGCCCAACATCCCAGTGACATCCCAGGGGACCCCTGGGACCGGCACTGCAGTCAGTATCTCTCCCCCCACCAAGGGTTGCCTTCCCCCAGACAGGCGGGCTCCTCTCGCAGCACGCCAGCTCATGACACAGGGTCTGGGAGCCTCGTGGGAGACAAAGGGGGATGCAGAGAGCCAAGGGGGTTGATTTTGCAGAAAAGTAAAAATAAAAATGCAGGAATGGTGACCTCGGGCAGAGCCCAGGGGGGGGATCTGAATGGTGGCTCTGTGCCGGCAGAGGGACAGGGCAGGAGGCCACATGAAGCCTGTCCCAGCAGCTGCTCGGGACAAACAGGACATGGAGAATGGGAGCAGCAGAGGAGAGTGAGCTCATGGGGTCAGGGGGCCTCGGGGTGGAAGGGGCACCCATGAGGCCCCAAAGAGCTCTGCCTTTTGCTGGGTGGGCTTGCTCCCCAACAGCCGACTCCCAGCTCTGAGCTTCACTGTCTGAGGCTGGCAGGAGGGGATGGGGAGATGCTTTGGGGGATGCAGGGCTGGACCCAGCCACGCTCAGTGCCTTCATAGGGTGGCCCAGCTCAGCACAGTTGGCAAAAGGCACCCCATGGTGCAGGTGGGGAGCTGCTGCTCTCGGTGCCAAGGTGGTGGGGTCCCTCTGGGCTCAGCTCCACATCTGTCCCCTCCTGCTTGCTGGTGCCACAGAGGGATTGATCCATTGTGCTGGTGCCAGGACCCGGTCAGTCACACTGCCTTCCTCCCTACCCTCAGTCTGGTGCCCATCAGGAGGTGCAAGAGCCAAAGCAAGTTCTTGGGCTCATTTCAGAGGTGACTACACAATTAAAGAAGGTCACAGCCCTGAGCTCACGCTCCCCTGCACTCAGAGGAACTACAAAAAGCCTGAAGCTGGTAAGCAAACTAACACAATTACAGGAGGAATCAGCTGCTGGTGGGGAGGAGGAGCTGCCCAGTTGGCCCCAGCTGGCATTGGGGATCCCGGGCAGGAGGCTGGGAGCCAAGGGCCAGCCCTGCAGGGAGCTGTGTGTGAGCTCAGCCCAGCACCCCAGCCCAGTCCCCACGGCCAAGCCTCTGCCCACCTGCACAACCCCTGGTGCCTGAGCCCTCGCAGCACTCGTGATCCATGTGGGCGACGGGAGGGCTCTCGCCAGCTCCCAGGGAAATGGGAAGCAAACGCGAAGGCCTCGCTGGCGCCGTCCTCCCTCCCACACGCCAGCAGCCCAGCTGCACCTCCTCCCGTCTCGGCTTGTTTTCACAGCCTGTCCTTTGGCCGCTCACTGATCCCTGGACAAATGTTCGTTAGCCAGACTGCCCCGGCAGCCTGCAGCCCACGCCGGGGCCACCCCATCCGCCCCAGTCCTGTCTCCCTTCCCAGCCCCAGTCCCGGCCTCGAGCCCATTCCCACGAACATGACAGTGGAAATGACTCCAGCCTGAGCTCTTGCTCAGATTTAAGAGTTTAAGGGTTTAAGAGTGCTGGACACCATGAACAGGGCTGGTAGAGGGGGGAACCCTGTGCCCACTGTGCCTGAGGATAGGAGAGTTGTCTGTGCCCACCATGCCTGGAGCTGGGAGAGCTGTCTGTGCCCAGAACTGGCAGAGCTGTGCAGAGCAGCACTTCGCCTGAGGAGACACCAAATCTGTGGCTTTGGCTCTTACGCTGGTTGTTTTTGTACAATTCTGGTTGCTGAATCCCACGATCCTGTTCCTCAGTAGGTCCTTCCCATCATTGGAACAGCTCAAAGTCCCCCGGGAGACACTCACTGTGCTGCTGCACTTTTGGGGCAACTCAGGAACGGGAACTGGGAGCCACAGGATCCATCCAGGACACAGACCAGTGCTGGGGATCACACCAACTCTGCCTGACTGGGGTGGACTAGAAAAGAAGAAAATCCCCCCAGACATTACATGTATGAACACATCTGCACACATGTATACACACATGCACATGCAGCTCTGCATGTTCCCGGTATATTCCAGGACCCCCTGTCTGGAGCTGCTCGGGGGCCAGGGTACTGCGGGGGCTGTGGGAGGACCCCCAGTACAGCCCCTCCTGCCACCCCCCAGGGCTTCTTTCTCCGGAGGTCTTACACTCCCTACACCGCGCCATCCCATCCCATCCCGCCGGGGGCCGCTCCCACCCGCCGGCGGGGGCGCGCAGGGAGACCCCCCCGGGGGATCCGCGACTCGGGAGCGCACGGGGGGCTCCCGCCGGCGGGCACAGGGAAGCGGCCCCCCGGCCCCCCCCGCGCTCCCCGGGCCGCCCTCGCCAGCCCCTTCCCTCCCCTCCCCCGCCCCGCCCCGCTCGCTCTTTCTTAGTCTTTTCTTTCTTTATCCTTCTTTATTTTTTTTTTCTTCTTTTTTTTTCCCCCAGAAGAGGCGCGGCGGGCGGAGGGGGCCGGGGGGGCCGGGGCTGCCCGCCCCCGCCCGCGGCTCCGGAGGCGCCGGCGAAGGGAAGAGCCGCCCGCGGAGCGGGGACCGGCCGGGAGCCCCGGGCCGGAGAGCCCCGGCGAGGAGGAGGAGGGACGGGACGGTCGGTGCCGCGGCCCCCGGCCCCTCCGCCACTTCCTAGGAAACATGGTAATTTCCTGGGGCATCCCTCTCCCTGCCGCTGCCCCTCCCCGTGGCTGCCGGCCCCGCGGGCATCGGGGGGGGCACGGGGTGGGCACCGGGAGCGACAGCTGAGGGAGGTCGGGAGCGAAGGTGGAAGGAGGTGCAAAGGCAGAGATGGATGTGAAGGTGAAGGTGGGTGCGAAGGCATGTGAGAAGGTGGAGGGAGGTGGGTGTGAAGGTGGAGGGAGGTGGGTGTGAAGGTGGAGGAAGATGAAGGTCAGTGCGAGGTTGGAGATCAGGTGTGGAGGTGGCCGTGGCCGCTCGGGCAGGTGTGTGCGGGGCTGCATCCCGCGATGTTTAGACTTCCCTGCAAAGTTTGTCAGGGGGGTGGAGTGCAGCGAGTGGGTGCTGCTGCGTGAGTTGTGCCAGTGGGGGGGACGCTGAGCAGACTCTCCCGGGGCCGACTGGCTCGTCACCGCAGCCGGCACGTGCCGTTGCCCCGGGCTATGTGCTGAGAGAGATCCCGCTCCGCCAGGCCAGGCTGGGCGCTTGCATCTCGTCCTGCCAAAGTCGGTGACAGCAAGAGCTGCTGGAGAGAGAGAGGAATTGGTATTCAGGACTGGTCCCAGGCTCAAACCTCGCTCCTTCCTGAGCAGGGGGGAGAAAGGAGCTGGAGCTGAGTCACCCTGTGGCTTTGGGCACGGGTTAAACAACTTCACCGCACCAAAACCCCAAAGCCCAGCCTGACTTGTTGATGTAAACCACTTTAAAAATATGGGTATTTGGGGAGAAATATCAATCTCTATTTAACAGCACTTTGGCTTATTAAAATGGAAATAGCTTTGCAAATGTAAATCTCCTTATGCTCCCTAATGCCTTTGTTCCAGCTCCGCTCCCTCGCAGCGGGTGGAGGGACTGGGATAACTGGCTGCTTTTGGATTCCTACGGGCTCCTGGCTGGCCCGGCCCGGATGCGGCTTCGCCCACGAACGCAGAGCTGCTGCACCATGGTTACCCCAAAAGCCTCCCCCAGTGACGAAGTGCTTTGTGACATTCCATGAAAACATTTTCAGTCAGTCATTCCAGGCCAAAATATTCCCCAGCACAACCCATCCTGTGTCTGGTGCCTCCATCAGTCCCTGGTTCTCTCCTGACATTGGCTCACGCGGTCCCTGCCGCTGGATGAAGTCCTGGGTGATAGGGTGAGAGGAAACAGCCTCAAGTAGCGCCAGGGGAGGTTTAGATTGGATACTAGGAAAAACTTCTTCACTGAAAGGGCTGTCAAGCTCTGGCAAAGACTGCCCAGGCACTGGTGGAGTCATCACCATCCCTGCAAGGATTTAAAAGACTGTCGGAGGCAGGGTGGGCAGTGCTGGCTCATTTCTCATGGCAGTATTTGGAGGTGGATGGATCCCCCTGTGCTGTTGCACATGGTGGCTCCTCACCTTGGTGTTGGGATGGGGAAGAAGCTGAGCTCAGCAGTGCTGGACAAAGGGATGGTGGGTACCCTGTTGAGCTTGGCACTGGGGATCAGGTGGCTGCACCAGGGCTCCACTGGAGCAACATGGAGTGGGGTGATTTGCCCTGCAGCAGAGATTTTCCAGAGAAAGGTCTCCAGTCCCTTCTGGGAATTGTGCATGAGGAGAAAGGTCCAGTGGCAGAAAGCCCAAATAGGGAATGCAGTAATAGATCAGGGCCCTGAGAAGGGACTGGCTCTCCTCCTGCTCTGCCTGGCTCTGTGGCTTCTCCTGTCAGGTGCAAGGGCAGAGATTCCTGCGTGGAGACACAGAGAAAAAGTCAAGAATTAGCCCAGCGTGACTGCAAAGTGCTTTAACTAAAACGTATTAAAGCTAATTAAGCTGAATTAGCCAGGGCCCCTTTGTCTCTGCATGGGCTCCTGAACCAGGGATTAGTTGCCTGAAACTAATGCTCACCTTGAGCTAATCCCACCTTCAGCTAATTCCACCGGACTTCCCAGGTGCCCTCACAGGAGCATAGGGATGATGGCAAACTGCAGCTGCTTGAAGTGCCGGACCCAGATGCTTGGAGGATGCTCCTCTTCCCAACTCACCAATGGGGTCCCTGTGGCAACTGTGCCAGAGTCACCCTCGTACTGCCTGGAGCACAGCCAGGGCATCATGGGAGCCAAGGGATGGCTTCCCCTCATGTAGCAGCAGTACCACCTGGGTCCAGGCAGGAAAGAGCTCCTGCAGCACTGGGAGAATGAACTGGGAACTGCTGGTTCACGTGTGGCACAGACCCAGTGTCCTCACCCAGTCTGGGGCAGCTCAGGGGGCTGCAACACAGCAAAATGCTTCCCAGAAAATGCTTGCAGGAATAATTTCGAGTTTGGCAAATTCAGCAATGAGTCTGGACCAAAACACCCTATCCATCTTCAGATGTTTGTCCTTCCTCCCATCTGCTGCATTCCTGCAGTGAGCTTAGGAGTCCAGCACATCCCCACGCTCTGTCTGGTCTGACTCCGCTTAACCCCTTGGCTGCTGTGGCTCCTCCACCTCCACGTGGCTGGTGGCTGAGCAAGGTGGCTGGCAGCCTTCGGGAGCTCATCCTGGGCTCCTTAATCACTGGGAAATGGACCTGCCATGCTGCACACCCCGCCTGTGCTGTGCTCACTATGCTCCACTCCCAAGAAGGTTTGCAGCCCCCCTGAGCTCATCAGCGTTGCCAGATTGGGCATCCCAGGGCCTTGACCGCAGTGTGGTGCAATGTGGGATGGTGGGCAGAGGCACCAGGGTGGGGCCCCCTGCTGCGGGGCTGCTCTCCCACCAGTGACACTTTCCTCCCCTGCAGCAGGATGCCAGGTCGCTGGATGCAGCAGTGCAGAGTGCCCTCCAGGCCCTCTACCCGCCCTTCGAAGCCACAGCCCCGACTGTCCTGGGCCAGGTGTTTCGGCTGCTGGAGACCAGCTACCAGGGTGATGGGCTCTGCTGCCTGCTCCAGTTCCTCATCCCGGCCAAGCGGCTCTTCGAGCACCTGCGGCAGGCAGCCTGTGTAAGCCCTGTGCCCCCACTGCCGTGCCCCTGAGTCCTCTCCTGGACATGGGGAATTTGTCCTAATGCGTCCTGCCTGCATGGCTCCCTCCCTCTCCCATCCCCTCCCTGCAGAGGGGACCATGCACACCCAGCTCCCTGGGAATGCACCAGCACACGCAGTCCCTCTGGGGTCACCTTGTCTTGCTCCTAGAGAGGCTCAAGCAGGGGTTTTCCCCCTGTAAGTACATGGGGAGACTCCACACCCTGGGAATAGCCATGGATCAGGGTGGGCTTGCACAGCTCTGCTGTGGTGGCTTGGCTGAGGGACATCCATCATGCCACTGAGATCCCTTGTCCCTACAGCGGGAAGCGCAGAGCCGGGCAGCAAGAGCGCGTGGGGTGGCTGGGAGGGTGTGCGGCTGGCAGGGCTCGCTCACGCGCTGTGTTCTTCCTCCCTCCCAGGCTCCCTACTTTAACCGCATCTTTCTCCATGAAGGCTGGCCCTTGTGTCTGCACGAGAAGGTGGTCGTGCACCTGGCACCGCTCAACCCCCTCCTGCTGCGCCCCGGGGACTTCTACCTGCAAGCGGAGCCCTGCGAGGAGCACTCGGCGCGCGTCACCGTGAAGCACCTCTCCCTGGACCTGCGCTCGGTGGAGGAGACGCCAGTCCCTGAGGCCGCCCACGCACTGCTCTTCACTGAGGCGTGGCTGGAGGAGGTGAACAGCAGCTGGGCTGGGGACCCCCTGCACACCTGCCTGGTGGCCACCGAGAACGGCGTTACCCCGCTGCCGTGGAGCCGGATTGCCACGCCAGAGTTCGTCAACAAGCCCAGGGCTGGAGCAGATGGTGTGCCCACAGGTGCCCGGCATGAACCTGCTCCTCAGACTGCACCCGAGCCAGCAGGACCCGGCATGCCCGTGCCCCACAGCACGGCAAATGTCCCTGTGCCCTATGGCAACATTGCAGGCACCATCCCAGGCTGCAAGGCCACCTCTTGGAAGTTGAGCCAGGGACGATACCCGGGACTGATCAAGGTGGAGCAGGCTGGGCTGGGGAAGAAGCCATCCACTCTGGCTGTGCCCAGCCTCTGCGAGATCATCAGCCAGAACCTGGAGGGGGAGTATGTGAACCTGCTGGAGCAATCCCAGGAGCAGCTGCATGTCCTAACCAGGCCCCTGCTGCCCACCTGCCCACCAGGGACAATGGGGGCTGGGGCTGAGGTGATGCTCCCCTGGGAAAATGGGGGACTGGGGGCAGATACCTGGCCCTGTGGGGGGGCACTGAGCTCAGAGGAGAGTCCCTGCAGCCCGTGCCTGGGGAGGAAGCTGAGCCAGGAGCCAGGGCTGCATGGCCCGAGGTGCCGCCACCGTGACTCCTACCTGGCTGCGCTGCAGAACCCAGTGAGCTTCAGCCCCGGGCTGATGGCAGCCATCCTGGAGGAGCCAGATGGCTACAGCCCCGACTTGCCCCCTGCTGCACCCCGTGAGACCCCTGCACAGCATGGGAAGAGGGCCAGCAACCCCATGCTCCTCAGCCACCAGCCCCACCAAGCAACTCCCAGGGTGCCAGCGGAGGCGTTGGCGCAGCGGGGCAGCCCCCGGCTCCCCCTGGGCTCCAGCCACAAGTTCTCCTTCCTGAAGGGCGCTCGGCTCGGGGCAGCTCCCACAGATGAAAGAGCCACCAGCCAGCATGAGGGGGCCTGGAAGAAGATGTCAGCCATCTACTCACCCAGGATGGGCAGAGCCAGGGCAGCTGGGAAAGGTACCGTCCCGTGGGGCTGCTGCACTTGATCAGGCACTGCCATTCCTTTGCCTCATTGCATGTCACAAGCTCCTCCCTCCTCCATCCCTGTGCACAGGTACAAATGCTGCTGCCCCCGTGGAGGAACGCTCCCTGGAAAGCATCGGCTGTAAGAATGGTCCTCCCGTGCCTGGCACCAGCCCTGCTGGCTGGGAGCCACTGGCCTGGCTGGACCTGCACGCGGGGCTGCTCCGCTCTGGCATCGTCTGCCTGCCAGGTACTGCCGGCACCGCGATCCCAGGGGATGGCGGGAGAGGCCTCCAGAGGGAAACGGCAGGCTGCTGGAGAGGGTGTTCTGGAGGAAGGTTTCAGGGCTTTGCTGGAGGCCAGAAATCCCCCAAGCAGAAAATTTCCTTTCAGCTTGGCAAAAATATTAAAAACATAAATGCAGGCAGCAGAGCAGCTGCCCCGGTCCCAGCCGCCCCAAACCCTCCCACACCATTCCTCTCTAGTGAAGCTGTTCAGTTCTAGCTGCCAAACACTAAACATTTGGCTCCTTCCTTTTCCCAAGAACCAAAAACCAGTAACAAACTCCACCTTTTTCTCAGGAAAAACGTCCCCAGAAGCTCTGGAATACCAGGCATTCATGTCCAGAGCCCCCCCAGGCTGGCTCTGCCCCTCTAGAAGGACCAGAGGGGCTGCACTATGGCAGGCCCCCGAGCTGAACTGGGGCAGCACCAATGGGTGCCCTGGCCCCTTGTGGGTTGCTCAGGGCTTGCAGGTGGCTGCCAGAGGGGTCACTTACCCTTTTCCTGCAGGGAGCTCGGACAGGTTGGGCAGGGCCCTCCTTCTGGTGACCACCAGTGGCAGCGCCTGGGGAGCTGCGTGGTGCTCAACTGCTGAGTTGGCGAGGCTCATCCTCTACCTCTGCTCCCTCCCCAGGTAAGGGCCAGCAGGACCTACCAGTGATCCCTAGATACTGCCTGGCTCGGGGCTCCTTGGCCAAGTAGATGGATGCCCAACATCCCTCAAATTCTGGTTTGGGCTCATCCCCAGGGACCCTGGGCTGTGCCCCTGCCAGAGGCACATGCTCTGAGCCTTTGGCTGGGGCATCCCACAGGGATGAGGTCACCGCTTGTGGCTGTGGGCTCCTGCCTGCCGGGGGGTGCAGAATGTGGGAGGGGGCTTTGAGCAGGTCCTGCCCCAAGGGAGGACCCACACTTCAAGTGCTCCTGCTGTGTTTCCCCTCGCTAGGCGAGAAGTGAGGAATGGCGAGAGGCGAGAACCGAAGGACGTGGGGCTGACGGTCGTGGTGGATGCCAGGAAGCAGCCGCCCGCTCCCGTATTGTTCTCTGCCCTCCGCTCCATCCAGGTACACTGGGCTCTGCGTGCCTGTGCCTGGGGCAGGTGCCCCTGCCAGGACAATGGGCTGCCACTGTGGAGCCCATTTCCCAATACCTGTTACTTGAGCTCACTGGAAAATGGGCTCCACAGCGAGTCCAAGGGCTCCGTGTGGGGTTCGCCCTGGTGACTCTTCCCTGCCTCCCACAGAGCGTCTCCCCGGGCTGCATCCACAGTGTGCTGCTGCTGGCTGAGAAGGAGCTGGTCGCCCACCGTGAGAGGCTGCCCGGGGTGCTGGTGAGCCTGTCCTTGCCCAGTAGGCTCTCCAGGATGTGCCTGGGGAGGGACCAGCCTTATGAGCCCTGTGCCTGCAGGTGGAGACTCTGACATCGCTGAAGGCTCTGGGCCGCCATGTCGACAGCTCCCAGCTACCCCCGGAGCTGGATGGTGCCTTCCCCTACTGCCACGGCGAGTGGGTTCAATTCTTCCAGGTGTCTGTTACCACGCCATTAGCCATCCCCTCACCTCCCCCATGCCCCTCTGTCCCCACCGTGTCTTACATCCCACACACACCCCTGGAAAAGCAACAGGAAGGTCTGGGAGAGGGGAAGGAAAAGGAGAGCTCTGAGCACAGGAGGGCAGCTCCTTGCTGCCTGCTCCTGCCTGCAGCTGCCCGTCTGTCTCCACACTCCCTTCCCCCTCAGCTTTAACCCAGTGCCTCACAGTATTCTATGCTCTGGCCTGGCACTGTTCCTCCTCTTCCTCCTCATGGGCAGCTGTTCCCGCTGACCCACCGTGTGTTCTCCCCCCAGAAGCTGCATCCCTTCACGGCTGGCCTCAGGCAGGCATCGGAGCTGCTGCAGCGCTGCATCCAGGAACTGCAGAGCACCGACACGCTGGCAGGGACACGGGTAAGAGGGATGGCAGCACCTTGGGGACATTTCAAAGGTTCCCATCTGCAGTGCAGCCACAGCAACATTTCCTGGTTGCCCAAAACTTGGCATGACCACTCCCAGACTGGCTGCTCCTGGCCATGGGGCTGTTCCCTGTCCCCTCTGCTCATCCCTGGGATGCAGCCCCAGGTACCCCTCCTGTGGTGGCTGAGGCCTCAGGTGAGGTCTCGGGTAAGACGTCTGTCCAACCCTCTCTCTGTCCTCAGGATGCAGCTGCAGGCGTCAGGAGGCACCAGGAGCTGATGCAGAAGGTGCTGAGCGACCCACAGCTGGTGCAGGTGCAGCGTGAGGGGGGCTTCGTGCTGGCCAGGCTGCGCAGGGAGGCCGCCCGCCTCCGTGCCTCTGACCACGTCAGGTAGGAGGGGGCGGCTTCACTGGTCAAGGGGTGCCAATGGTGGGGACCCCTGGCTTCTGCTGGCTGACAGAGCCACCTCCCCAGGGTCAGCTCAGTCCCTATGAGCACAAGCTGTTGCCGTGCTCCCTCCTGCTCTGCAAGCCCAGAGCACACATCTGGCACGGCAGTATTGCCCCCATTCTGACTGGGGAAGGTGCCAGATCCCTGGGAGGGTCTCCTGCTCCAGGCCAGAACGGATCTGTCTCTGCGCTGCGGTGCCTCGGGCTGGGCTTGGGAAAAGCCACTAGATGGGGCCAAGTCCCGGCCATGCTGCACTCGTCCGGTGATGTCGCACTTGTCTGGCCGTGCCATACTCATCCAGCGATGCTGTAATCCAGCCATGCTCTTACTCATCCAGCTGTGCCATAGTCGAGTCATTCCATACTCACCCAGTGATGTTGCACTTGTCGGGTGATGCTGCTGGTCAGACTCATCTGGTGATGCCACACTGGTCCAGCCATTCCACACTGGTCTATTGTCCATGCATGCTGGCAGCATTAATCCCACTGCTCCCTCCTGCTCCCTTCCCTCTGTGGGGCTGGGCTGCACTGACAGATGATGCTTTCCCATCCTGTGGTCCCTGCCTTCTATATTGCTCCACGGGATGGGGAGTTGTCCAGGTGTGTGCAGGACCACAGTCAGGAGCCGACCAAGAGACCTGCTCCCCTCCACCCCACACATCCCTGGGCCCACCCAGCAGCACCCAGCACTGAAGGCCCCTCCCCTCCCAATCACCAGGGCTGGCATGGAGTTGGCTGAGGGGCTGTACAGTCAGCTAGAGGAAGAGCTTCACGACCTGGTGTCCCAGTCCAACAGTTGCCTGGAGCGCCTGGAGTTCCTCCGAAAGGTCCGGGAGCTCGAGACCGAGTTTAGCAAGGTGAGCTGGGTGCTTCTGGAGTGCTGCAAGTTGTAGTTGTCCTCTCTGGTGTTCCGTGGCTGAGTGTTCTGGGCACATTTCCTTTGTTTCCGATGATGGCGGAAGCCTGGAGAATAGCAGGATAGCCTGAGCTTTGATGTTCATTATGAGTGACTGTGCGTGACTGTGCCTGGGCTGGGATGCCCAGGCAGGAAGGGGAGGTGCTGTGGCCACACTGCTGCCATAGCCAGTCCTGCCTGACCCCCTGACCCCTGTCCCACTCTCTCACAGCTCGGGTGCTGGCTGGACGGGGAGGCAGCAGCGCGGCTGCAGGAGATGGGCACCGAGGAGTGGAGCCCCGACAGCTGCCAGGGCTCTGCCAAACACTTCAATGAGTTCCTGGCCCAGGCCACGGTATGCTTGGACCTTTTCCATAACACACGTTCCCTGGGTTTGGAATGAGGCTTCTGGGCAGAACTGGGTGTCCCTGTGCTGTCGGGTCACACTGAAGTTGTCAAGCTGCAGTTGTCAAGCCCAACATTGCAGAGATTCTAAGCAGCCCTGCTCCACTGAGGGGGTGGCTGCACTATTGCTTGCTAGGCTGGGACTGCTGTCCCCAGTCCCTGCTGTACTCCATCCATGCAGCTCCCTTGTCCTGCAGAGCCTGGGTATCCATCAGACAACAAATAACATGGTAATGAGGATCTGTTCTTCCCACTCCCCTGCGTGTGGAGGCCCTTTGGTCACACACACCGCAGGGACAACAAGGCACAGTGATCTCACTTGGGACAGGAGGTGCATTTAATGCATTTTGAGCCAAGCCAGGACAGAGCAGAGGTTTGGAGAATCTCTGTTCCCTTTGTTTCTTCTCACTTGCCCAGAAGTGTTTCCCATCCAGCTGTGATGGTGATGCTGAGTGCTGACCTGCAGCGCCTCACCCTGGACACACATCCCAGGCCAGCACCATTCCCAAACGTGGAGCTTGTTCCTTCCTGCCGTCCCTGCAGGCTCAGTACCAGCACGGCCTGACCCTGTGCCGGGAAGTGGCTGAGGTCCGAGATGCAACATTTCCCGAGGCAGATGCCTTCCAGGTGGCTGCAGCCCTTTTCCAGACAAAGCTGATGAGCTTCTCCAAGCAGCTGGAGCGGCGGCAGGCAGAATGGGAGCTGCTGCAGGAGCTTGCCCAGTTCTCCAACAAGGTGGGTGCAGGGGGTCTTCCCCTGCAGGACCTGGTGCTGCTGGCAGCAACAAAACCAGCTGCTCTCACCTCCTGTTGTAGGTCACAGGGCTGAAGCTGGACTGCCGGCAGTGCTCGGCCCGGGTGCAGCACGGGGAGGGCCAGGCACTGAGGTGCCTGCAGAGATCCTTCCAGAAGCTCTCGATGGAGTTTGGCCTGGAGAAGCTGCAGGAGATGAAAGCTCAGGTGCGCAGGATGCAGAGCAGCCAAGGGCTGGCAGCCTGGACAGAGGCACGGCACAGGTACCAGGAGACCCGGCAGGTCCTGGAGGAGATGCTGGCAGAGCTGCAGGAGGCCTGGGGAGTGCAAGCTGACAGGCAGGGAGACTCCTCCAGCCCCCCCAGCCCAGAGTGTGCAGCCCCTTGCACAGAAGCCCCCATCTGCAGAGCAGCTGCCAGCCCCAAGCCAGTAGTGCCGGGGGGTCAGGGGGTGGCAGAGCAGCCAGAGCCCAGCCCTGAGGGGCCAGGACAGCACCAGGGGCCAGGACAGCCCTGGGCCAACTCTGCTCCTGGCCCCACACTGGGTGCAGAGCCGAGTTCCCCACAGCCCTGCTGTCAGCTGGGGCCTGAGGGTGCCCGCACCTCTCACCACTGTGTCTCTGCTGACACCCCCCTGCCCAAACCCGAGAGTGGAGCCAGCCTGGGAGCAGCAGGACACCTCACCCCGGAGCGCAGGCAGCCCCCTCGGAGGCGTCCCTTCACGCTGCCTCCCTGGATGCGCTTTCCAGGTGCTGACCAGGCATGTCCCACTGCTGTGCCCCATGGGACTGCCTCGGATCCCAGTACACCTGGCCCACCACCGGGGCCGCGGGCAGAAGCTGCCCAGTACTTTCAGGTTTCCAGCCAGAGCAGTTTCTCCTCTGAGGACTCAGACTCACAGAACTCCGTGGAAGAATCCCCAGCAGTGAGCTCGGCTTTGCCCCGGGATCTTCCGAGTCCCAGACCACCCTGCCCCTCTGAAAAGCCCCCTGAGATTGTTTACCTGGAGAACCACCACACAGAGAGTCTAGCTAAAGCAAATGCCAAGTAACCAGTCCCTCCAGTTGAGGCTCTTACTGTCCAGCTGTGGAAGTCTCAATCACCAACTGGATGGGACTTCCCATGCTCAGAAGTGGTATGCTGGGGACTCTTACCCAACCTTCAGTCCCAGAATCTTTGGTTCCCTGTCCTTAGTGCTCTCCCTGCTGGGGATTGGCAGTAACCCCATCACCAGCTCATGAGATTCGTTAATAATCTACCAGGCGTGTAGCAATATTCCCATAAAGTGCCTTTATCCTTACCAGTGCCAGCCTCAGCTTGGGCAGCAGGGAAGGTTCCCACAGTCAGCAGCTGTGCCTGGAGCATGCCAGGGGAGTGCAGACCTGTGCCGAGGCATTCCTGCCATTGACTGTGCTCCCCACTCCTCCGGGTGGTTTTACCATCCCCTGCACCAGCTGATCCCCATTGATGGGCCTTGTGTTTGTGTGCTCATTAACACGGGACTAATGCCATTAACATTAATAAACCTGTAGAAAAATACCTGGAGTGGTCCCCGTGGAGCAGAGCAAGAAGTCATGTCCTGCTGAGAGCCAGGTGCTGGGCTGCTCACCTGGGCTCCAGCTGCTCCCACCACCCCAGCCCAGTGCCCATGGGCAGCCAGTGCCACCATGAAGGCCCCCTGTGCCCCCCACATGGGCTGAACCCACAGCCTGGCTCTCCTGCTTGCTGCCAGCACCCTGTTCCTGTTCAAAGGACCCTTTTGTAAGGGTTAAGTGCCTCAGTCTCTGGTTCCCCCTCCCAGTACATTGAGGATGGTGTCATCCTGCCCAGCCTCCCCACTCTGTTTTGGGAACGCACTGCCCTGGAGCCTTGGGGACCCATTCGAGCTGGGTGCGACCTTGCTGATTCCAGTCCAAAGCAGCCTGGGGTCCCCAGAGATCCCATCCCCGTGGGTGTGTCCCCCCCGCCATGCACTGCCTGTTTGGGCACCTAGGAGCGGGCGAAGGCAGGCGGGACCCCGGCTGTCAGGCTGTCGGGGCCAGGAGCTGACCGGCCGCCCCCTGGGCAGCAGCAGCATGAGCTAATCGAGAGACATCGGAGGAGAAGCAATCTCTCCCATGGAGGCTGTTCCAGAAAAACACTCTCCTCCTCCCAGCCCGCTGTGGTCATGGCTCGCGCCCTGCAGGATGCTGTGCCTCGGCAAAGGGCACTCGCCCATCCCAGTCTGGCTGAGCATCACTCATACCCCCCTCAGTCTTGTTTTTGCCAGATCCCGAAGCCGAGCCCCGCTGAGCTCCTCTCTGGAGGCTGCGGCACTGTGCTCCTCCTGTCTGGGTCATTAACGCATCATTAACGTTGGAAGGTGGACCCCAGCCCTGCACCGTCACAGAACTTCCTGCCTGTCACCACTCCTAGTCCTGCCCATTGTCTACCCTTTACTTCTTCTTTCAACTCTTTTGAACTCCATCTTCCCCAGCTCAACACTGATTTCACTACTGGCACTTCTGTCCCTCCTCCACTGAAGTCCTGGTTGCTGAGTCCACCCCATTCTTTTTTGACTTAAAAGTCATTGTCTTAGAGACCCTGAACACCTCTGCATGTCCTGCCCTGGATGAGCCAGCAGGCTTTGTCCCATTCTCCAATAGTGCCATGTCCTGAATGGCACCAGGGTCACCCAGCCAGGACGTTTCAGCTCTTCATGTTATGACATGTCCCTGGTCCCCATCCCTGTGCCAGCCTTACTTGCCCGCTCCCCATCCCCACACATGTGGCCAGTGCAAGCCATGCCCGCCTGGATGGCACCCAGCACATCACAAGAGCCAAAAATCTCTTTTCCCTCCAGCATCACTCTAAGCCAGGCTTGACAGTTCCCTCGCTCAATTTTCTGCTCTGCTGAGAGCTGATCTGCTGCATCCCCCCCATTAAAGGTTTTAGGCTGGGGGAATAGCACTTCCCAGTAAGAAACTGAATCATTCTTCAAACCAGATGGAATTATGATTCTTCTGAATAAAGCAAACACTGGCTTTCCTGTTGTTTTCTTTTTACAAAAGTAAAATAAAAAAGGATATTTTGCAACTCCTGAGATTAACTGATAACACAGGGGGAATTTCCGGCCCCTGGCTGGAGGGTGAATCATTTTCATGGAAGAGCCCTGCACACTGGCTGCTCTCAGCTCCCACATCTGGGTGGGCACAGCTGGATTCTACCTACCAAAAAGTGTTTTGCAACATTCTGCAGAAATTTTCTTATCTCTGCTGATCCTTCAGCACATGATTTACGACTCCAAGTTTGACCAATTAAACCATAACCTTTCCAGAAAGGCAAGTACAGGAGTTAATCAATGTCTCCTTCCCCCCATGAAATGGCAAAATCATTTGTCAGGGGCTGGCAGGGGGCCAGGCTGGTGGGGGTCCAGCAGTGCTGGGGCTCAGGGCATTGTGGTCAGCCCAGACTTGGAGGGGAGCTCCTGCAAGGTCCTAGGGAATAGTTTTTTCCAAAGGAAAGAAAGTTCATAAATGATGGATGCAGAAGATGAAAAAGCCTGGAGAAGTGGAGGGCCCATGAGTCAGGCACAGACCCCAGCCCCAGGGACAACCCTCTTATTCCCATGGCAGTTCCTGGGGCAACCATCCCCCCATGGCTCCTCACACCCTGCTCCAGCAGAGCAGCTGGTACCCAGGCTGGCACTGAGCCAGGAGCTCCGATCCACTGCACTCTTCTTCCTCCTCCTCCTCCTCCTCCTCCTCCTCACTGCCAGATTCCCATCAAGCCCTTCCCTACAGACTGTGGGGGCTGGAGGGTCACTGGGCTCAACTGAGACGAGACAGAGGGAAGAGGAAGGAAAGAATAGGAAGAGCAAGAGTCAGTGGGGCTGCCACACTCCCACAGTGTGCCACAGCTGTGCCCTGCCCCAGGCAAGGAGGAAATGTGGCTGATGGGTGACAAGGCAAAGAAGCAGTGACAACAGCATGTGGGACATCTCAAAGCCCCCCATATGGGCCCCCCAGCAGCTCTGGTTGCCAGTGGAGCTGCTGTGGGTCCATTCCTGTCCAGGCAGCCCCTGGCATCAGGGCTCGGCCTCAAACAGCCACTGGAGTTCGGAAGCACAGGACAGGGATTTGGCCTGTGCTACAGCAGGAATGCCATCATGCCTGGATTTGTCCTCCCGAGTGGCAACCAGGGCAGCAGTTCCGGTTTCAGGAAGTAAATATAAAGGCAGCCCTGGGTGCAGGAGGGAGCTGAGCTGTGGCACAAAGCCACTAGCTCTGTCCCGGTTTTGGGAAGTGGCTGTGAGGAGAGATGTCCCCTTTGTTATACCCTTTGTTTTCTGCTCCAGCAGAGCAAACAGAGGTCTCACCCATCACTGAGCCAAGGTTGCTGGTGCTCTGGGGAGGTGCAGGACTGCTGTAAGAAACGGGAAACCAAAGAAGCCAGCAATACCAGAGGAAAACAGGAAGGCTGAAGGGTAATGCCAAAGGGTCGAACTCCAAGGGCTGGGCATAACTCAGCCTGATCTGAGCTGGCCAGGACAAGGCCAACCCAGCTGCTTTCCAAAATCCCAGCTGTGCTGCATCCCGAGGGATGGATGGAAAATAAAAGTGTGCCAGCGCTTGCCCAGGGGCTTGGCAGACACCCACCCCTGGGAAGCTGCTGACAGGAGAGTTGGGCACAGGCGACCTTCTGAGTGGGGGCCACGCGTGGCTCACGTGTGAGTCCTGGGGGAATTGCCAGCTTCAGGCATGAAATCCGGACCTGTGCACTCACAGAGGAGCACAAACACACTATGCACCAACTGGGGAGCACAGACTCCTCTTGTTTCCCCCTGCAGACCCGTAGGAGCCTGCACACTCTGAAGGTGGTGAGGGATTACCGGGGAGTGGAGCCCTGGGGGAAGAGGCGCCCTGAGGAGGGAGGGCTGGGGGGGTTCCAACAAACTGCTGGGAAATGACAGCCAGAGGCTGGAATTCAGCTCGCACCAGGTACAACCAGACCGGTTTGCAAAACATCATGTTTGGCTCATGGCTGCCCTGGCACTGGACACAAACCCATCCTGCAGCTCTGCAGCCCACCCATGACTGCTGTGGGACCCTGCTGCAGGAGGACTGGCCATGTGGCCATCCTGGGGCCACCAGCAGGGAAGGACTTGGCACAGCTGGAGAATCCAGCTCCCCAGCACATATCACTGCTGTCCGACACAGGACCTATTTTCCAGGGGCTTTCTGGGGAGCCCTGCAAGGGAAGCCCCCAGCCTTCCTTCCCCCACCGAGCTTGGAGACCAAATGAACCAAGAAACTTTTGAGAGATTTTTTCTTTCTCATTTCTTTTGAATAAAAACAAAGACGGTGACATAACAAATTCCTCCTGAACCCCCCCTAGAAGTGGGATGGGATGCCTTGCTCCAGGACTCCCCAGAGAAGCTGGTTATCAGCTGCTAGCCTGTCCCTTCAGGCCATGCTGGTCCAGGTTCTGCACTTTTTGGGAACAGCCTCTGGCTCAGCATGTGCTGTGAGCAGTGAGCCAGAGCCTGGGACTGTGTCTGACACCACTGGAACATCCCTCCCCCTGCCCCGTGAACAGAGGATGCCTCAACCTCACAGGGCTGTGTCTCCCCTGTGGCTGCAACATCAGAGCACACCGGGCCTTCCTGCGGGGCCAGGTGGAAAAACAGTCTGCTTTTCCTTTAAAAGCCACTTCTCCTCCCAAAGGAGAGGCTACCCATTCCCTGCGCTGCCTGGCCTGGCAGGCAGCTGCCTAGGGCTGGGAACAAGCCCCCTTTATGCCGGCTCCAAACCCCTCCATCCCAGGAGCCCTGCACAGCACCGAGCCCATCTTGCTCAAGTTGCTGGCTCAGCTCCAGAGCTGCCTGTGGCAACCGAAGTTCCAAACCTGGAGCAATGTCAGCACCAAGCCAGCAGCTCACCTGGCCCAAACTGCCCATGATGCCATCACCAGCCCCACCCTTCCTCACTCCAGGCCGCAGTGCCCTTACAGACCCTGTCTGTGGCTGCTGCCCAGCGCTTTGGCTCAGCTGACCACAAATGGAGCAGCTACAGGTCTTTCCCCTCCCAGTTTCGAAATATTTCTCCATGCTCAGACATCAGAGCTCTGGCATGAGAAGGGTAATTGCAGCATCTTCAATGCCAGGATCCCCAGCCCCAGCCCCAAATGCTCCAGTCATCATGGGCACGAGACATTGTCTCACCCTTTAACCTTTTCCCAAAGTCACATCCCAGCCCTGCCGGCCCCCTTACAGAGGGGAAATGATGCCGAGCTCTCCACCGAGGAGAACCCAGGTTCCCCGGCTTCAGGGAGCTGCAGGAGCAGCGGCTCTGCTGAAGGCTGTGCTTTGGGGAACACCCGGGGCGGGAGGCACCGCAGGAGATGGGCAGAGCTGTTGAAGTCGGTTGACGACTTAACAGGGCGACTCAGAGCAGACACTGTCCCTTTTCAGGGGTTGTTTATCTGCCTGCACAAGGGACTGACTCAGGACGTGCGGGCACTGGGGGGGCTGCAGCCGCCCCAGCACACACCCAGGAGAGCAAACAGCGGCTCTGCCTGTGCGGGACAGCACGGCAGGGACCGGCACGCTTTGAAGCAGCTCCAGGAGTGGGGCGGGGGCAAGGGAAGTCGTAGTCCTGCACTGAACACCTTGAGCAAATGAGGAGTTATTCTGGGCTTCAGCAGTGCAAACACCCTCTTAATGCAACCTTGTCTTAGTAAGGAGAGTAAAAATACCAGCAGTGTGGCATGGGCAACATTTTCCAGTGCCTGGGCAGACAGATGCCTCTGCGATATGTGGTGTGAGTGAAGTGGGCACTAAAGCTGAAAACAAGGGAGGTTTCCTCTCGTTGAGGTGCTGGAACCAAGTCTGGATAGCCCCTAAAGGACAGCCCTGAGTGGACAGACTTAGAGGGATAACCCTGGGGGACAGCCCCAGAACACAGCACTGGGGGACAGCCCCAGGGGACAGCCAGGCACTTGTCTCCTGCCACTTCTGCCAGAGGTGCCACAGCAAG